TCGATCTTATTGAACAATATGAATATTTTTTACAAATGAACAAATCTTCATCGAATGAAATATTTTATAATTGTACTCGACCATGGTTTGGACCGCTTTGTCAATATAAATTCATTGTAAATCGACCATTTCCAAAGATGATCGAAAAATTAAATGCAGATCGTTGGACATATGTAAATGCGATTTTTACTTGTTATATGCATTTGAAATGCAATCGTGGTTCAACTTATCTTTGTCTCGATTGGCGTGAAATATGTGATGGAAAAATTGATTGTCTCGATGGCGGAGAAGATGAAAAACATTGTCTCGAACTTGACTTAAACATATGTGAAGAAAATGAATATCAATGTCGAAATGGAATGTGCGTTAACAAAATCTTTCTTTTAGATGAACGTTATAGTTTCATCAGTCCAGAATGTTTAGATCAATCCGATGAATACTTAAAAAACAGTGAGACTGCATGTAACTTTATTCCACTTTTTAAATGCGAAGATATCATGTCACCATTTCCTTCTCGTTTTACCTGTGGAGATGGCAATGATCTCTTGAGTCATATGCCGCGCAAGGGATCTGTGTGTAGAAATAAACGAGATCAGGTATTGAACTTTCTAATCGGCTGGCACAATAATGAAGATACACGATTTCCTCGCTGTTTCAAGATTCTCATCTGTACATCGCTTATATTTTCATCGGATCAATTCGATGAGTATTGCAAACATTTATGTGAGAACGAGAAAGAATGTAAAATACAAATTATGCAATCGTGTCCAACTGCATTCATTGCACCAACTATACCTGTGTGGGGTGGTCATATTCGATTAGGCTACTTTTCTAATCAAACATTTAATAATCGTGTTGACGCCACACCTATGTTTATATGCTATGATCAAAAACGTTGTCCATTTCTCATACCAACATTAATAGTGGAAAATTCTACATGTATCCATATAGATGCTTTGAACTTGTCATCATATTTCGACCTTTACAAGCCATTTGTTTTATGCAATCAATTCTTTGAAAATACAAATGACACTCACTGTTCAGATCCGACCATGTTACGTTGTTTGGGAACAAATAAATGTATTTCTAAGCGTCGAATTATGGATGGCATTTCGGATTGTTATGGCAATTTCGATGAGTCAATCTCAGCTAATTCATGTGCATTGAATGATACAGATCGTTTTCATTGTACATCGGAACGAAAATGTCTTCGACGTATTCTCGTGGGTGATGAGGATCCAGACTGTATAGGCAGAGAGGATGAATTTGCTCTGGATGGTTTCATAACTGATATATATGAACTTCCTTTTTCTGCCATTTGTGACAATTGGATTGATATGCTTAATTTAACAAATGAAACTGATGAAACTCATTGTGAACAATGGCAATGTGTAAATCAATATACACGATGTAATAAAGTGTGGAATTGTCCAAAAGGCATCGATGAAATCAACTGTTCATCAAGTTTTCAGTGTTCTGCAGATGAGCATCCTTGTCTCACTGGAAAAAATCGAACAATGGGTTGTTTACATATGAAACAAGCTGATGATGGAATTGTTGATTGTCTTGGAGCAACTGATGAGCGATCTTATTGTAGATCACTATATCCAAAAGATAGTTCCAAAAGTTATCGCTGCTGGAATGACACGAAATGTGTTCAAGTTCTCGACCGTTGTGAACATTGTGATAACTTTGACGGTATCGATCAATTATGTGGCAGCTATCATACGGAAATTATAACCTATCTAGAATCTGCACGAAACATTTGGTTTTCTTTCAAAATGTCGTTCTCTCATAAATCTTCACTTAGTTTTCCTCCAATACAATTACCATCAATTGTTCAAAAACACACGCAACATCGTATAATGGACAATATGAAAATTGATACTCGTATATATCAATATAACCCTCATGCACCATTATGCCATCAAGGTGCTGAAATCCTTATTGGTAAAAATGAAAGAGTAAATTGTCTCTGTTCATCACATTATTATGGGAATTTTTGTCAATATCAAAATCAACGTGTTACACTTACTATTCGAATACGTCAAGAAAACTTAGAAAAATTTCGTGTAATTGGTATTGTTATTAGACTTGCTGATCATACTGGTCTTATTCATTCATATGAACAAATTACATATATTCCTGTAATTAATTGTGATGCGAAATATAATTTACATCTTCTTTATCAAGATCGACCAAAGGATATGACAAAGAATTATTCAGTTTATATTGATGCATATAATAAAAGAAATCTCACTTATATTACCAGTTGGATATTTCCTGTTCAATTTCTTTTTATGCCTGTTAATCGTATGAGTGCTCTACTGACAATTCCAACATATCAAAATTGTCGTTTATTATGTAGTGATAAATATCTCAAATCATTAGGAAATGTTAAAATTGATTCGTGTCAATGTCACCCAGACCGAGCAACTTCGATTTCCATTATTAAATACAAATGTAACTGTTCACCAAACTCAATTTGTGTTGGTCTCATCAATAATCGATCAATATGTCTTTGTTCTTTAGCAAAAGTTGGTCCTCGATGTTATCTTAATTCAATTTGTCAAATGGATACATGTAAGAATAAAGGTATTTGTGTACCATCTGATCCTCGACATTCGGTGGCTAACTTTACATGTGTCTGTCCAGAGGGATTTTCCCGCGACAATTGTGAAACGAAAGATGTACAAATCGATGTGTCATTTTCCGATGTAGAATTTTCACAGTCTCTATTGATCCACTTCATCAAAGTGATAAAATTCAGACTTATGAGCGAAGATCAAGCACCAACTCGAACAACTATGTTTAAGAAAATTCAATTTCATCAAAAGATAATTACAATTCATATGGCATTGGAATTTCATCTTGTCTTCGTTCAACTTGAGAATGTTTATTATTTGATTGTTCTTCAACATGAACATACACCTTCAATTGTTATTTCTACACAAATCTCTTCGTCACAACATTGTCCACACATTCGAGAACTTGATAAAGTTATTGCTGATTATCCGATTCTTCGTCGTGTAAAATATTATCATACAGTATGTAAAAACCATTCTCATCTGATGTGTTTTCATGATAATGAGACATTTATGTGTTTATGTACACAAGAAAGACATGCAAATTGTTTTCATTTCGATTTTACTAAGAATTACAATTGTGAGGGTTACAATGATTGTCAGAATGGAGCGCAGTGCTTTCAAGATCATCCACATTGTCCATCAAAAACAATGTGTAAGTGTCAAGAGTGTTTTTATGGTGATAAATGTCAATTCACTACAAAACATTCTGGTCTTTCACTTGATTCTATTTTGGGTTATCATATTTATCCAAATTTATCGATAAATCAACAATCTGCACCAGTCAAAATCAGTATAATTTTAGCGATATTAATATTAATTATTGGTCTCATTAGTGGTATTCTATCAAATCTGACATTTCAGATAGAATCAACACGAGTAATAGGTTGTGGCCTTTATCTATTTTGTTCATCAATAACATCGATTTTAATAGTCATTTTTTTAAATATTAAATTATGGTTTCTTATTCTTTCTCAAATGAACATTATCACTGGTCGATCTTTCCTCTGGTTTAATTGTCGTTTAATTGAATATCTACTTCGATTCTTATTAGCCATCAATGATTGGTTACATGCTTGTGTAACAGTCGAACGATTTCTTGTTGTTTTCTTAGGTGTTCGTTTTAACAAGGCAACCAGCAAACAATATGCAAAACGAACTGTATGGATCATTCTTCTATCAACTGCTGCATCGATTGTTCACGATCCAATTCATCGTCGTCTAATCGATGATAGTGAAGAAGAAAGAACGTGGTGTATACTTCGTATTACAGCACAACTCGAAATTTATGATAGATTTATCAATATCTTTCATTTTCTTATTCCTTTTTCCCTCAATTTTATCTTAGCCATTGGTATTATTTTTCTCAATGCAAGACAACGTTCAGCCTTGAAACAGGAAGTCACTTTTAAACAACAATTAAGAAAACAACTTAATCAACACAAACATCTCATTCTTAGTTCAATTTTGTTGGTTGTCTTAGCTGTTCCTCGTCTGATTATTTCCTTTTTACCTAATTGTATGAAATCACCAAAACAATATGCATTGTTCTTGGCTGGTTACTTTGTTTCATTTATTCCACCAATACTTCATTTTTTTATTTTTGTTTTAACGTCAAAAGTATATAAGAAGGAATTCGACATAATGATTAGAAAAAAATGGAGAGCATTTCGACTTCGTTTAAATCCAAATTATGATTTATCATCAAGAAATTAAATGACAAAATTTTCGATTAGACGACTATTTTTTTTCTTTGCTTAGTAGTGTTGCATCTTCTTTGCTTTTAAATAAAACTCATAAAAAAAACAAGTGCAGCCATTCAAGTTTTTACGACACTTATGTTAGTTTGCAAACTATTGTTCAATCCTGAGGGTGAGTGTGGGTGTGAGCGTAGGTGCGTATGATACATGTTTTCATCCACATCCACACCCTGAAAATTGAAGAAACAAATGATAAACACAATCAACCTTTTGATTAAAGCATCGATATTATCGTCATTAAAACTTCGAAATGTCCTGATCGATGGACAGTTGTTTATTGAGTTCAAAAGCGAATGTATAGATCGTCTATGACTGATGAGAAAAACTATCATGAGATTATTCGACTTGAAGGTGTCAGTAAAAGCGGATGAAAGTGAGTTACGATTCACTAATGTTTACATCCTCACCCTTCCAGATTTAACTCAAATCTTCAATCTGACACTATGCTTTATCACAAACCAAACATTTAGAAGAAGGAACAAGAGATAAATTAGCAAAATTGTACCGGTATTGATCATTTTTCACCAGTGACAATGGATTTTTTTGAAACAATATCTTTTAAGCTAAATAGGCATTAGTTCATTGTTTATTTTATTTTGTAAATCATGTTTTGTCAAAATAAAAAATATTCAGTTTTACGAAGCTTATTACGAATTTAGCAGATTGTTTTATTAAAGCAGAGTTCAAATTTTTGAATTCGATCATTATTAGAATCGCTAATATATAGATTTCCTTCAGCATCAAATGATAAATCTACGGGGGCATCCAGTTGATCGGATCCTTGTCCTTGGTCATTTCCACCTACAACGATTGAACCTTGTTTATCTCCTTCACACCAACGCATTATACGGTGATTTCCTTTGTCTACGACATAGATGAGACCCAAATCATCAACAAATACTCCTTGAGGATACGACAGCTGAATGAGACTATTTCCTCGATCATTTCCGCCAGCCACCAGAACCCCTTCTTTCGCACCATTTCTCCAATTCACCACGCGATGATTGAAAAAATCCGAAATATAAAGAGAATGATCTTTATCGACAAAAATATAAGTAGGATAATTTAATTGATTGAGCCCATCTCCTTTGCCATTTCCACCTGCAACTACAGTTCCATTTATTTCTCCTTCTTTCCACCGTGTCACTGTATTTTTCTCCCAATCAGTAAAATAAATTGATCCATTATTATTCATTGCCAAACCATAACACCTGATGTTAGCAATGAAAATTTGTGGATCTGTATGATTCTTACGAAACCATCGCATTACTCTTTTATTATCCCAATCGCAAATGATCAAGGAATCATTTTGTTTGTCCAGAATTACATCTACAGGACGATTCAGTTGATAAACTTCACTTCCACGTTCATTTCCACCTGCAATAATTTCGCCAGCCTTCGCATTAAGTTTCCATTCAAGAATGCGCTCTCTCTGATGATCTGTAATAATAATAGCATTGTCATCAATTAAGATGCCGTGAGGCTCATTGAGCTGGTTTAATCCATTTCCATATTGATTTCCTCCAGCAATTGTGATTCCATTTTGTTTCCACTGTTTATATTTTGATTTAATTTGTTCTAAAAATCAAGAGAAAATAATTTGATAAAAATGAAAAAAAACGATGTATATATTTTGAATTTATACATCATTTTAATAAGCTCTGAAAGAATTGAGGCTGTGGGCGAATGCAAAGAAGGCAGACCCTTATATCCTCATTCACAACGACGTCACCGTCGTCTCGATAATATTCTCTTCAGTTGTTGCAATGTCTTGACAATTACAAAGACATTAATTGAAGTTAGTTTTTCATAACAATCAGGAAAGCACTATAATATTTGAACAAAACATTGCATAAAATATGGTAATGTGTCTTATAAAAGAACAAATTATTCAACTCAAAGTACTCTAATTTTTCTATTTAACAAATCATATGCATATAATTGTTTTCAGAATAATATTATCATACAATTTTACTTAGTTCTCTCTGTTCTTTCATATGAAGTATTGAATAGATAAAAATGTATTCATCATCTGTTGAATAGTATCTTCACTGATTAGATAATTAACATCTCGACAGCTGAAACTATCCGAAAATAATCTTCTCTTAACTCAAATAATTCTTCAAAACTCTTATACCGTCAATCAAACTATAAATCTATAAAAAAAAATGTTCAATTTATTTCTATGAAAACTAAAACTGTATCAGTTTCATTTATATAAATATCATAAAAAAAGATTATTTTCTTCACAAGACTACCTTCTGTCGTAATTTCTTTTGTTGTTACTTCTGTTGTCACCATTGTTGTTGTTGATGGTTTTGTTTTAATAATAACTATTGGAATAATTATAATCAAAACAAGAACGACAACAATAATACTGGAAATAATGATCCACATTAATTTTCTGTTTTGACAATATTTCTGTCTGAAATAAATAGCTTTTTTTATTATTTCTTATAACAATATATCATATACATACAATAATCCTGATTGATTAGCTGATGGTTGTCCTAAATTCACGTTAATTTGTTCAGGCTAAAATAATTAATTAAAATAAAAATTATTTCATTTTATCTTTACAAATAAATTAAATGACAAACCTCTACTTCAAAACGATCCATAGTTGCTATTTTGTGCAAATGTAAAACTATTTCAATATTTTGATAATCAAATATCTAGAAATACAGATGACATAAAAAAAAAATAAAATTGTCATCTAAAGATTTTTAGTTTTTTCAAATAAATATTCATATCATATAATATCTATCTTCATTTCTGACGATAAAATAACATTTGAAGACAGAAGATTATCTGAAAAATAAAAATGATTATAAAATACGTAGGATGAAAGATAAGAAAACTAGAGAAATGAGTAAGTCATGAAAAAGAAATATATTCAAATATTTATAATAAAACAACATTGATAAATACCAGGAAAGTTTTTTTTTATAAAAAAAAACAAATACATTCTTATGAACATTCCTACAATAAATAAATTGATTAGTGAGAAGAATTCGTCTTAATTTGGAAACAATCGATCTCAAAAACTTATTCAAGTAATTTAAACAGATCCTTCTCAAACTTTGAACGACAATTTATTTCATTTATTATAAAACATCTAGTAAATATATATTTTTTTTCTGTCCACTTGTATAATGCAACACATCAGAGTTATGTTGTTCTATAATAAACATCGCACATGTCATTAGATTTGTAAAATAAGATGACAGATTTCATATATTTTATTGTATTAATCATAGAAAAACGAAAGAATTAGCATTGATACATTCAATGATCGAGTTATGTTTGTTTTCCTATTGTTTCCAATACGAAAGAAAATTCACTTCGTTTTATTCTATTATTTGAGTGTACACGAAAAGAATTTTTATTTTCATATCTAATTATATATATATCAAAGATGGGCGCGGTTCGTGTTTTTCAAAATTGTAACCGAACCGAAACCGATATCTGAAAAAGTAAGCCGAACCGAAGATAGGGAAAAATCAAAAACGCTAAACCAAACCGGACCGAACCGAATCTACTATAAAAAGAACCGACCCGAACCGAACCGAATCGAATCACATGATTCAAACATTTATTAATTCATAGATAAAATACTTTAATATTGTTTGGGATTCATTCGTGTTATTTTGACAGATAATCTCGACTGAAATGTATATTAACATCAGGTTTATTAATCTTCTATACTTTTATTTATATCACTTTCCAAATAGTAAACTATTTAAAGGTAAATCGTACAACGACTTTGTTTAAGATTATGACCATCACAAATATCTATATGTTTATTCATATTTTTTGTGCTGGATGAATACGAATGCTCCATAACAATATTTACACGACATAAATGTATTAGAAATTTCTTTAATTTTTCGATCAACGCTTTGTGCAGGAATACTAAAACAACGCCAACAGTTAGCTTTTTTTATCTTTTACATCGATCACAGACCATTCTTTTTTATTAACTTCAAGTTTCGAAGCAATATTTTCTGCAGAGAGTGATTGTGGAGAATCAGAATTAGTTAATGAATGAGTCGATGAATATAATGCAGTGGAAGATGAAGTCGATCGATGATCATCATTCGAATCAGAAGAGGAATCAAGTTCAATAGTATTACGGAGATTTGAAAGATGAGAAATATTCAAGTTCGATAAATTTTATGTTCAACAACTAATAATATAAAACAATCTAGTTGATTTTCTTCGTTTGAATTAAAATTCGTTTATTTACGCCTGAATTTTCTTTGACGACATGGACGAGAAAATATAATAATGTTTTCATTACTACGTAGGTGTTATAGCGCCATTGAGATATATCTTTTTTTCTTTTCTTTTTCTCTCTCTCTCTCTTTCATATCTCGTATAGACGACATACATGATCATCTATTTCGTCTGTACGAGATAGGAAGAGAGCGACAAAGAAAAAAAAATAAAAGATATATCTCGATGACACTGTAACATGTACGACATCTTTTGTTTTCATTTCTTATTGTGCGTATATGTCGACAGACGATAATATAGATCAAAGATGGGCGCGGTTCATGTTTTTCAAAATTCTAACCGAACCGAACCGATGTGCTCAAAATTTCAACCGAACCGAAACCGACATTATCTTGATAAGTGTCGGTTTGAACCGCTCGGTTCGGCTCGGTTCGGTTCGGTTCGGTCCATGAACCGAACCGTGCCCATCTCTGATATATATCAGAAAGTAAGTTTTCTTTTTAAAAGACTAATTATACAATCAAGTCTATGTGTTTGTAATAGACAAATTTCAAATGATTATATTCATCATTCTCGGCTCAGAGATAGTTTGTTATATTACAAGTTTATGCTGATATGGGAAATATTTAAATTTCGAAATCAAAAACGTTTGTTGATATTCATATACATTAGAAAATGTTGAATGTACACGAAACGATTCTAATAAATCTAATGATAACAATGCTAGTAGGCATTCATTCTACTTTTTTGTTCGATAAGTCAAGAGTCTTGTCTCTATTTTTCTCCATCATAAAACATGAAAAAAATTGACTTTCAATAAATCAAACTAATGAAAGACTTTCGGACATCATTTTGTTAAAGTCATTGCAACAAACACAACATTAAAAATGATTAATATATAAAAGCAATGTGTTTACTTCCTTTTTTCAAAGGTAATTTGTGAATGAACTGATATCAAATGTCATTTACCATCATAAGTGCTCGTGATATTGAAACTCCGCAAAAAAGGAATGTAAAAGCAAACTGTTTCAGATAAAATTTAATGATATTCTCAACACCTAAAAACAACCATGAAAGTCATGAGTTTACAAAGGAAATGCAAAGTTTCCTGACAAAGACAACAGTACACTTATTTGGATAAAGTATTTTGTTTTTATTTTATATTCAGTTAGAAGAATAAATACACTCACATCGTCTGTTGTCAGAAATATTTTTTTGTAACTAATTCTATTATATTTAATGATTAGTTTTCATTTCAACTTTATTCATATTAGATAAATAAGAATACAATGTAATAATAAATTCTTTCTCTTCAAATTTAGTTTATATTTTCATATTAAGAAAAGTATATTATTGTGATATATTCAACAACCTGATACAATTTTTTTGTCACACATTAAGTGTAGAAAGTATATTAAAAGACTGATATCATTCGAGATTAACTGTTTGCATGAGTGAAAAAAATATGTCTACACTATTTCTATAGGCACTCGATAATTATGAGGATGAATAGATTTTATCAGAATTTTTGTTTTTGTAAATTATCCTTTTTTATTGATGGAAAGATGTTGCAAACATTAAAAAAATTGTACGGTGTACTGTACGTAAGGGTGAAGAGAAAAAAATGAAGAGGGGCATGACTAATGTCTTGAGACGATTTAGTAGGACTACGAAGAGATCAATGTAGGTTTGTGTTGTTGGTTGTATGTTTGACGTAATATATCTGTTAAATGCTTAGTTCGAGTGATGTCGTTGTTTGATTTCGATTTTCCTATTGCTTAATTTTTGGAATATCTTGAGGATGTGAGCATAGATTAATAATAATATGACACCCACACCCATGATTAAAATTTATTTATTCAAGTTAATCATTTACGAAAATATTTTGTAAATTCAAGACCATCTTGAGGGTGTGGGATGGGTGGCTACTCATGACTTTGTGAACTACACTCTCAATGAATACAAAATTGATAAGTTGGTCATGAAGATGAGATAGAAATATGTGTTTGAGATATATTACTTGGATAATAATATTTTCATTAAGTGTTATTTCTTTAATATAATATGTACAAAGAACTTTACCGGTGATGAAAACTTTCTTAATATTGTATACTTCTATGATATCATCAGATGATATTATTGAAATTTATTTGTATCAATAAAAACTCGTTGTATTTTATTTATTTATCATATTACAAAAAAAATGAAATTAACAACAACTCGTGAAATAGTGAAGATATATTGAAAACAAACTTTCATAACATTCAAGATGATAATAATAATACACATAAAGTAGAAAATTTTATTAAATTTTATGCAAAACAGAAAATAACTGAACTTTATTTTGGTCTTCGTCGAACAGCATTTGTCATACAATGAACACCACCACCACCTTCTAATAAACCTTCAAAAGGTATGAGACCTACTCGACACATATTATTGTGACTCATACAAGTAACAATACCTTTGTCAGCATCACTACCAGCATACGTAACAACATGACAATCATCAATAACAACAACATTATGTCGACATTGTCGTTGTTCATCAATCGATGTTTGTTCGTCTTTTGCATCATAAAATATTAAATCAGGATTATTAAGAAGTTTTCGAAGAGTTTGTCGAACATTACAACCATGTGATATCCATTTTGGTTTTAAACATGTATTTTGATGAGAATATTGATTTTCTACAGTATATATTTGCATAGTTTCAGCTAATAGACCATGTAATGTAAATGCATGTTTACCAACTGAACTAAGAATAGTATCTAGATGCATGTAACATCGTTCAGGTGGTATCATAATAACAATAACTTGATGAAAAAGGCCTGTTCGAGTAAGTGCTTCAATGCCAGTTCGATTTGTTCTTTCACTACAACCAATAAGTAGAATACCATCACCAAGATAAGCAACATCACCACCTTCGATTGTTGGAATTTCTTTATCATTTTCATCAATATTTTTTTGCCATTCGATAATTTCTAATCCACAATTTGATAAATGTGGATGATATTGAAAAATAATATGTAATAGAAGTGGTTCATTTATTCTTGTTGGTTTATTCATTTGCCAAATAAAAACATGATTATCAATAATTGAAAATTCATCACGCATAAATAAAAGATTAGGTAATGGTGGAATGAGATATTCATTCGTTGAATTATTTATTGTAAGAAGAATTTGAGTATAATCAGATGTGCCTAATTCATCTTGTGAATAAGCAACACCAACAATAATATCTTCGGTTAATTGTTCAGGTGTTCGATGAAGCAACCATTGTTGAAGAGCCAATAAAGATTGTTGTTGATTATTATGATTGAAATGAGAATTAGTAAGAATACCATGAATCAATTGAGAACGTGCTTGATCACTTGAAATAAGTGTTTGACGAAGAAGATCTGCTAGATAAAGTACATGTATTCCATGATCACGTAAATATTGTGAAAAAATATCATGAGACTGATGTGTTTGAACAATATTAGGAAGAGCATTAAAAAGAAAATGATGATAATTTTCTTTTGTTAATCGAAGAAGTTCTTTGCCTGGTCGATGCATAAGAACAATGTCTAATTTACCACATTCTGAATAAACACCAACACCAAATTCATCCAGAATATCTTTAATTTTTGAAGTAGATATATTCATTTTATTAGTAAAACTGAATGGTTGAGAATTTCTATAAAAAGATAAAATTATTGTCTTTTAAAATGAATATAAAGCGTATTTACATACTATTTTCGCATCATTAATCACATAATAATATAGTTTTCGAGTTAAACGTGGTAGATAAGTGTATTTATTTTTCGTTTATGCAGCATACAATGAGTGAGAAAAACCTTTTGTTTTGTATTTACGTTTGTATGTAACGAATGGCGTATAATAAATAGACCTCTTATTCTCTTATTTCTATTACGATAGTATTAATATGTGAAAGACAAAGATTTTTTTTAAAGTAGTCTCTTTCAATTCTGTATAGTTTTGTCAGTTTCAGCTGATCAAACTAAGATTGATTAGTTCATTATTAATGACGAAATAGATTAGTCTGAAAATCTTCTTGTACATTAGATTTTCTAGAGCTTTTTTTCTCTGATCATTTTGGTAAAACAAGTTTTGAATTTCATTGAGAAGACTATACAAAATGACTTGAACTACAGTTATTTTTGATAAGTAATTGTAAAAAGTCGATTGACATATTTCAAAATGGTAATATATGATACAGTAGATTTTGTGGAACAAATTTTTCTTTACAAAAGCGTATATTATTCTATATTTCTGTACTATAGCTATTTTGAAATGTGCTAATATTAATAAGTCTTAATTTGATCAATTGAAACGGGTAAGATCAATATTATCGAAATACAAGTAAAGCGATGATCGATCTATTGACTATGACTCATCCTTTATTTGTTCTTTATATTCTTGTGATTTGATATATTAACAAATTGAAAAAGTCTGATTTATAACGATAATACAATACTAAAGAATAATTAGATGTTTGTTCTTTTAAGAAAAAAATATGTTGTAATATATTGCTAGTGACTTTATAGGTTATTTACTTACGTGATTCATATTTTTATTATTTAATATCCGATAAATAAACTATCAGTATCGATATAATTTACATTAATAATGATTATATATTTTTGCTTCCAGTCTGGTTTATGAATGAGATATTCATGAAACAGATTCATCTGATCAGTTTCCTGTAACTATTCTTAGCTTATTTCACGTTGGGAACACGTTTTTAATGATTTAATAGGAAAAGTTTTTTTAAAGTTTCTTTTCGAATAGACAATTGTGTAAATATCATCCACATTTTTTATTTTCCAATCAATATCAAACAAGAAAAAATATTCATCATAAAAGAATAAATCTATCATGTGTAAAAATATTTTTTATTTGCATAATAACGACGCATTCAACGAAATTTTTAGCATTGATCTGATGATACTACATGTTTCGAAGGACCCAATACTATCTTGTTAAGAACAAAGATTTGTTGATCATCATCATTTGTTGAAGTTCTGCGCTGTTTAATTGCAATAATAATATAAGATAACATAGCTAATGTAACATAAACAAGTTCAAGAATAATTTGGGTACGAATACGCAATTTGGATATATAAAGAAAAACGATGACAGCTCCAGAATTCTGAGCACATGTTAGCAATGAATAAGCCTCTGTTATCTTGTTTGGTAACATCGAATTGTACAAAGCTACAAGAAAAAAGGATGAATCAATATTTGTTTCATCATTGAAAAACAATGCGCATGATCATTCATTCAATCAATAAGATATTGATCAATAACTGTTGAAAAAAATAACAAAACATCATTATTTGATAGAGAAGAGTCTTAGGTTCACCTGTGAGTGTTTTGTGTATTGCTTGAGAATAGATTTCGTCAAAGAAATTTTAGAGATGTGTAGAACAAAAATTTTTGCAATATATTTCCAGAAAACTTTCGTAGACTTTGTGAACATATGAATGTTGTTCACTTCTTTTCAGAGCATACGATTTTTCTGATTTCTTTTATTCCACTTTCCAGTATAGATTCTTTTAAAATCTATGATTTATGCATGAATACGTTGCATGTTGGAATCATATTCGTATGATGGAATCTTTAGTTTGTATTTCAAATACTATAATCATCAAAAGAAATTAAAATCCTGTGTCAGACCTGTTATAAATGGTGTGGTAAGTGCATCTGAAATACTTGATAAAAATGGAATGATAAATAACACATATGTTTGTGAGACTGTTGGCTTCCATACAAGCATAATAATATATATTGTATAGCTTAATAATGCTGCGATTAGAAAGCATATTGGTCGACTGTATTTTAATTTGACTATATAAGCGACAACGATCGAAGTGATAGTGGCTGCAATGCCATATATTGTCATAATTAGACCTAGAAATAATATCATTGACTATGAGATAAAATATGTGAAAGTATCATTCATACATACCGACATATTGAACACCAATTGTACATGTAATAAAACTCTATAGAAAACAAAGTTTGAATTTAGAAGAAATATGTCACATGAATACAACACAAATAATCAAAGGTTTTCATGTGTATTCTAAGGATTGTAACGAAAATGATGGATATTTCGGTTAATTATGTTGGATTCTTTTCTAATAAGTAAAGTCAAGTCAAAAAAGTATAGTGCTATTTCTATCTCTGATCTATTGTTCTACAGAATTCTCAAATCAACATTCTCTCAATTGCATTTCAAATGAAAGAGATGATCGGATGCTTTCGTATATGTAGCGTTATTTATAAAAAATAAAATTGATTCAGAGTTTTTCATTCTAAAATTTTCATCAACTTACGCTTGATAAAGCTCCCATAAAGAATATTTGTGCAGAAACTGACCAAAATCCAAGTGGTATGAGTAGAAGATTATTTGGATTTATAGCAGTTTTGAGTGTTGACAATGTATGATTAAGTGATTCTCGTAATAATCCTTGAGAATCATCCTCTTCTACAATAAAATAATATCTTCGTTGATCATGTCAAATATATCACAGGTATAGTTACTTTTATTGTCACGTCTCTGAACAAGAATAATGATGGTCAATACTATTGACACAAAGATAATACCACTAAATATACTATAAAGAATGTAAATCTAAAGAACAAGCATTTCATCAATATTCTAATAAAATAAATCGTTTTTTTATGATAATCTACCGTTTTCTGAGATATACGATGATTATCATTTTGCATTTGATGTTCATTTATTAAGTAATCAGCTCCACATTGTGTAAAATTGGTATTTGTAGTTTTTGGAGTATTTCGTAAGACTAAATATGATATGAGATTACCCCATATTTGAGCTGCAATAAATAATACCACTGTAAAAATATGCTTAAATTATGCAATATAATATGAAACGAACCTGATTGATATGCAGCAAGAAAGATACCAAAATATTTTCTAGTTTTTATCTCAGCATCATCATTCTCACTTTCATCATTTGCAAGTACAGTCACGTAAGAACTTTGAGCCATGGACATACAAGCTCGAAGACTTCCACATATGATTGCAGCTAAAAAGGACTATTTATCACAATATTTCAATTGAGATCGATGTTTTACTTACTTGAATACATTAACCATTGTTTAGGATACATATTAGATGCAACATATACCATTATACCGAATTGTCCACCAACAATTGCCCATTTATAACCAAAAATATATCCAAGTGGGGTTGTAAATAGAAGACATGTAACTAAAGAAGCAGCACCTGCAATTGCTACTGAATTGAGACCAACATCTTTATCTGTATTGATGCTCGATTGAAGACTGCTGACAGCTTGGAGTGAGGTAAATGCACAGATGTAAGCGAAACAGATCATTCCAAAATTCCGTTTTGTACCACCTCTTTTATCTTTTTTGTTTGCACTTTTATGTTGTACCTTTTCAGTCATTTTTTACTTGAAATTGGAGTGAACAGATATGATTGTATTTGTATGAGAAACAAAGATTTCAAAAAAGTATGTATACTATATCAAAACTGATGAGAAAATGATAACTCAAGACAAAGAGAGAAATATTTTGACTATTATATTCATGTCTTTCGATGCATAGGTAAAAATAACTTTCATGAATAGGCACATCTTGTTTTTGTTAATAGTATTACATGTGTTTATTGTCTTACCTGTGTACAATTGTCTTATCTAATACGGTTAAAATATTGACAACAATTATGTGATAAAAGACAATAGAACCAATCCTTTTACGTATTTATCATAAACAAAATACAATACAACACATGTATGAGTTAAGGATGAAGAAGAGATATCGAATTTTATCCTACACATACTTTCTACTTTATATTGTGAATAAGAAGAAAAAGTGTATTTATGTAATGCTTTTTTACTGATTGACATTTCTCCCTTTTTTTTCAAAAGTACAGAAGTACGTATTGTTACTCTTGTAGTATTAAAATTTATTTAGTAGAGAATTCTATTATTATTTATATAAAGAAATGAATAGATGAGAGATGCATCAATTATTCTTTCTCTCTCTATAATGATAAAAACTGAAATATTACATCTTTGTATTGAATTATAAAATGCAGTCAACATATTTTTCTCAATAATTATGTTGATTATAGTATTTTCTATGACATATTTATTGTTTTAATTTTATTCTACATATTCATCTTACTTTGATCTATGACTTGTGTTTTTTCATGAATGCAATAATATTTTCTCTGAGTAAGTGAAGTATTCTTTATTGTTGATTAATGAATTACACATGAATATTTTTTAAACAACAAGATGTTAAATTACTTTATTTCTTCATTTCTTACTACTATAAATGATTGGCTTAGTTTTATCTCTAATGTAATACATTTAAATAACAATATTATTGAGACATATACTTGAATTTATGATAACGATCATAAGAGTGTATTTGTTACTTTTATATTAATTCATACACATATTGATGTTCATTCTATTTACCAACAATTGAGTTTATATTTTATCAAAAACAAATATTAAGAATTAAACGAAAAGATGCGTCAGTTTGATAGATTTTTTTCTTTTGATTGAAGAAAAAGAGAAAATAGGGATAAGTGATAAATACGATATTTGGTAATAAATTATAAATAAGATAAACTTGATTTATTAGAAAAATCATGAAAGAATAATTTAAATCAATGAGATATTCTAATAATGATAAGATATAACATGATATTTATAATACGTACATATATCTCTATAAAAGAAAGATTTAAAATATCGATTTGAATGTTGTAAAACTATTTTTATTTTATCTTATTTAAACACGAAGATAGATAGATAGAACGAATAAGAATGCCGTATTTTTAATTTGAAAGTATTAATGTTAGAATAGATAAATTAGTAACTATTAAAAACTTCATATTATTGAATTTTGTTTTTTTCTGATCATTCTCTCTTTTCAATGATTAACTCATCATCATAATACAGTAAGACTTAGCCTTGATACATATTTACATGTATAGTAAGATAAGTAACTGTACAAATCAATATTGACGTCAAATATAAAATATGTCCTTGATTGAAAGGAAAGATAAAATAAAATACGTTTTATATATGTGTTAGAAATAGTCGCACAACGTGAGAAATCTCCGTTTTATATAAAAGTGGTCATTACTTTTTTTTATCAACACATTTCATCTTTTACGTATGTATATGTATCAAAAAAAATTTCGTCTATTATACTCGTATGACATATGGATAAATACAAAATATATATTTCTCCATCGCAATGCATTGTCAATCTAATTTATTAAAACCAGAGGATCGAGCGAAGTGTCATATTATATAAATCAATTGAGTTACTTGCTTATGAATAAAAATAAGTTAATTATTACTCTTACTGACAAAACAAAATATATTATAATCGATATGATATTTTTCTCGTATTCTAGAGCGGTTATTATAGTCACAAAAAATATTCAATGATAGTAAAGAAATTTTCTAAGGAGTATAAAAATAAATTATTATCTTATTTTATTTATAAAAAGAAAATTTTTATCTCATTTTTATGTCTTTGTATTTATAAATTCCATCAACAATATTTGAATCAAGAAAAGTTCCAAATAATTGATCCCAAAATATAAATAAATCTGAAAAATTCTTATTTGGATGTATATGATGTACATGATGTTCACGTGATCCAACTAATTTTAATAAACGATAGAGTTTTGTATTCTCCCATGGATGATCATAATTACTATGACATAATCGTTTTATTAATGATGATATTACTAAAAATAAACAATGATCCCAAAATGAACCTGGAATAAAACCCATTAATATCCATCCTAAATGACTACTTAATAATAATTCACCCATAGATGAATATGCTGAACTAGTTAATGTTGGTATACGTAATTGATGATGTTTTAAATGATCAAAAATTCGACCAGATAATGAATGTTGATATTTATGAAGCATCGTTCCTATACCATCAGATAAAACCATTTTTAATATAAACGATATTAATGATATAGAATTCATATTAAACATTGTTTTATGATGTATATTGAAATACCATACAGAAGAACGTATTGTAAAATGTATTATTGTATGTGATGTTACAGAAGCTTTTTTTAATTCAATACCTTGAGATTTACGTTTTTGTATTTCACGTCTGTATGGTTTAGATTTTGTTAAATAATCATAGAGATTTATACCATAATATGGTATAGTCATTACAAGTATTTCAATTGCGAAATAGATATACCATGGATATTGAGTTGTCATTTTTTTGGTTGAAAAAATTTTAAAATGAAAAAATAATTATTTAATATTCTATTTATTTAGTGATGTTTGTCTGTTTTTTTCAGTTCGTTTGTAGATAAGAAAAATATGGTACGATTATCATGTGTCTAGATAACTATGCAAAAGTGTAATATGGTCCTATTATTATATAATTTTGAGATAGTAATAAAAAAAAATATCGTTTAATTTTAACTAACTAATAATGTTCTAGCTTATCATCGATTTTCTTGGTAAGTAGAAAAGAACTACATTAAAATCGATAGATTACATATCGAAGTATTTTTTTGAAACAAATTGCGCAGAATTTCTCTCATCATAAAATTGTTCATGTCTTCATCGAAATCTTCAATCGATTTAACCCCTCGTGTGCTACCTTATGAGAACCTGAGAGTCAAAAAAAGCGTGGTGAGTCTTCTCGGACCTCGACTGAAAAGAAAATTACAAAGTGTAATAATAAGTTATCTTATCAACGATGTAGCATTTATTCAAATAAATCCATTATATAGATAACTTTATATATAAAAAAAAAAGAACTCGGTCAGATTTATTAGTTTTCAAATGAAATTTATTTATTATTAATAAATATGTATATGTCAACGTTATAAATCAATTCGTGTATGGTTTTTTCTATGAATTTTTTGATGAAGTTTTGCTTTACCATATTCCGTTAAATTACAATCACTAATCCAAAGTTTTTTTAATGTATCATTATGTTCAAATATTTCAACAAGATAATCAATACATTTATCTGTTAGAAATAAATTTGTTGAAAGTGATAATTGTTTTAATGTTTTATTATGATATGCTAATACTCTTGCTAATTGTTGAACACCTTTATTTGTAATTTCATTATTTGATAACCATAATTCAGTTATTGTTTGATTTGTTCGAAGCATATCAGATATATATTTAATTCCATCATCAGATATACCATTTTTACTAAGATAAAGAATTTGAAGAGATGAATTATGTTTTGGTAGAAGTGCTCGAGTTAATGAATAGACACCAGCATCAGATATTTGATTAAATGAGAGATCAAGACTTTTTAATGTTGAATTATTTATTAAACTTGATGCTAATGTTGATATACCTTCGGATTTTATATGATTTCCATATAACCAAAGATCCGTACATTTTTTTTCATTTATTAATTTATTGGTTACAATTAACATATCACGATCGACTATGTCACAATAAGATAAATCAACATGTAATTTTGATTGACATTGTTCGATTTTTTCTTGAAGTTTAGCATTGTGATAAACTCCAACTACCATATTTCTATTGTTGATTGTGTTTGATATTGGTAATATAGGCTTTTTAGGTTGATGTAATCGAACTAATATCGATTGAGAATGTAAAACTATTGGTGGAACATAATTTAATCGAGGAGAATTATTGACTTTAATTTCAAGTTGTACTCGTTTAATCGAAGGACTACGTTTGAGTTTTGCATTCGATACAAAATTTTCTTCAAAATTGTCAGTTGAAATCTTTCGATTGACAATTCTAGTATTATTGGAAATTGCTCTGGCAGTTGCACGTCTAGACATTTAACTTTAAAAAAACTAGAAATATAAAAATTTAAAAAAAAAAGATTTTTTTTATTCATTTGGTATATGAAAGCTTTCAATATCAGTGGATCCTAGCAACGCTAAAATCTAGTGAAACGATCAATCTTTAACTCTATATCCGTTTATAATGAAAGGTATGAGAAATGAATTATTAAATTAATCCTTTCCGGCCGACTATTCCCCCCACCCTACGACAAAGGGCTAACTAAGTTAATTTGAATTGCATAGATATTTTTGATATCTTTTTTTTTATATTCCACATCATACAATACTGATATAGTTTTTCTTTAAATGTTTTTCGATATACTTCTTTTGTATATATATGTAAATAAGTAGGTCTGAGAAAATTTTTGTAACTTAAATAAGTAGAAAATACGGCCTTGATAGGAATACTCTCGAAATGAGAAAAATATTTTATATTCTATATGAAAATAATTTCAAATATTGTTATTATTTTTGTACTTACCTGTATTTCACGTGTTTGAAAAAACCACATAATCGAAATAATAACTGGCTGTATTAATTGTATTTTCTACATTTCTGCCCATCAGATAGACTAACGTAGAAAAAAAAAAA